ATATAGTATTTACTTAACACACACGAGAGAGAGAGAGAGAGAGAGAGAGAGAGAATTTATTTGGCTACATTTTTGTCATTACAGCAAAACTCAGCCAAGATTGTTTGTAATTTTATATATATTATAGATTATTTACGTATTATTACAAAGCACAGTGGCTATGTTTTTATGTCAAAAAATTAGCCATATAAGTATTTTAAGGTGGGGGGGGAAATTGTACATCAGTACTTTACACAGCACTGATTTCTTTTCACCATCAACTCATTTACAGCAGAATAACCTATATATTCTTAAAGTGAAGTAAAAAATTAGTGAATGATAAGTTGATATATTTTAAAAAAATGTTTAACTTCAGCTGTCTGTAGGCGTTCTGCATAGAACATCCCATAGTCATGTGTGCTACTTAGAAAGAGTGTTCATAAAATGCTACAGAAGCAGCTAAAAATATTGGGATTCTATACGTCACTGTGCTGGCTGCAGGGAGTCTGATGCACATATGGACTGTATCACTGAGTTTGTGGGGATTTTGAAAGATTCATAATTTTTTGCACATTGGCCCCATTTGCATTGATTTTAATCGATATTTTGGATTTATGCTTTGGATTAGTGTGTTGAAACAGGAACCCTAAATAAATAAATACACCAGTTCTTCAGCACCGCACTGGCTTACAGATTACCATGTTTTAGGAAGCACACTGGACTGGGTCTTTAATTGGCTTAAATTGTTGTATTTCACCCTTCAAATAAAAGCATCTGAAAAAGTGATAAGTCTAGCACAGTGCCACAAAGCGAACAGTCTGGGGGTTTATTGTACCAGCAAGTGAAGCAAATTCCAGAGTTGAGGAACTTCTGCCAGGAGTCTCTGCCACCCATCTCCAGACATAACATTAAGGATGCATCGGCTGATGTCCCCAGCTACACAGTGCCTGAGGAGATAGGAAGCCTTTTAGATTACTAGGTTCCAAGCCAGCGAGGACTTTATAAATCAAAAAGTCAACACCTTGAACTGCACCCAGAAGCAAATAGTATGCCCTGCAGCTTTACCTATTTAGAGCAGGCAGTCATTTACATAGAATAGGTCCCATGTACTCTCAGTGGTCTCTCTGTTTTTAGGGCATGGAATTACATGATGGTAAGCAGTGTAAAAAAACAAAGGTAACACATCTACCCTCTGAAATAAAATGTACATATAAAAAGATTTGATAAAATTAAGATATTTTTTCATAATCAGATGTTGTTAAGGTCACACTTCATCCCGTTACTCCTGAATTATTTTAAACACACCAGATTCTTAGGGTGGCTAAGTTCCGAATTCTGATTAGTGTTTTATTCCACTGGCAGTAAATCTGTAAAATAAAATCAGCGAGACTGCTCACAGAGTAAGACACAATTCAGTGCGTGAAAGGGTATTGATATCCAACCCTAAGGGAGTAAGGATAGTAAAGATCAATGAAAATATGGAAATCCTGATTCATAATAGTGCATCCAACTTTCAGAGAAACAGACCTGCACCAGAACAAAAAAAGTATACAGTATTGTGGAGCGCTGGAAAGGGGGTGGGAGGCACTCAATTATTTGTAAGTAATGCTGCATAGAGTGTGGTTTTAATTAGCAGTGAGTCATGAAGTAGAAAGGTTTGCCAGATACCAGGCTGCAGTCCAACTCATTACCACTCCTAAATGGTTGCACACTTGGAGCAAATGTGTCTGCAGGCCTTTTTTATTAGGACTCAGAAAATCTAAAGCAGGTGAATTCAGCTGGAGAAGGGCCCAGACTGCAAACTCAGAGAAGCACAATGCCAGTCAAAAAATATAAAGTGCGGGGGGTGGGAGGAGAAAAGAAAAGAGAAATGTTAACTTCCCAGCTGTGTCTGAAAGTATAACCGTCACTGAAGCAGATGGTGATTTTATGTGCCAACATGCAGAGACAGTATATACAGTTTAATAGGTATGGGGGCGGGGGGAGGAGTTTTTCTTGAGACTATGGAAGACTATGCCAGTCAGCATGGGTTTATTTGAGTGCAGTATTCAATCTAGTTGGCTTAACAAAGAGAAGGTTAAGGGGTGACTTGATTGCAGTCTGTAAGTACCGACATGGGAAACAAAAATTTGATAATGAGCTCTTCAGCCTAGAAGAAACAGGTATAAAACAGTCCAATGCCTGGAAGTAGAAGCTAGACAAATTCCGACTGGAAATAAAAAACAGTTTTTAACAGTGAGGGTAATTAATCATTGGAACAATTTACCAAGGGTTGTCGTGGATTCTCTGTCACTGGCCATTTTAAAATAAAGATTGGATGTT